TATATATATATATATATACTTCCATCTTTGAATTGTATTGAAATCCAATTTATCTTTATTAATTATAAGTTTTACACTTTTGTTCAATTTAATTAAATAATTCCTAAATGAATAATTTCTAAAATAGATCTCATCTAAGATATTTTTAAGGGGAAAGATAAAAGAAAAAATAATAATTTTCTTATGATTAAATATGGTAATTGTTATTAATGTGATATGTATACATGTGTTGTCAATTGTGAGTTATTAATATGATATGTATGCATGTGTTGTGCATCAATGGTAATTATTTTTGACAAACAAATAGATACCACAAAGGGATAAGTCGCACAAAATAAAAAAATACAGTTAAAAGACTCAACGTCACATGAACAAAATAATTTTTGGCAATTCATAGTTGATTAGCATAAAGCGTCCTCCACCATTACTCGCACCAATGCTCGCAACACGAGCAATACTACTCAATCACTATTTCTTGCGTAAGTAAGAAGTATCAAACAAACAAGCAAACAAGATAACCAAAGAAAGCAACTATACCACAACACGTAACTTATATGAAAGTACACAGAGAATCACAATTATGGCACACAATACACCATCGACACAAATAAAAGTACACACGAAAACACAGTCATTACACATAACACACAAATGCAATTTGAAACTTTGAATCAATCTACCTTTGATACCACTAAATGTTACACCTTTTACCCAAAGTGACATTTTTTACCCCTCATGCATAATTTCAAAATAACATAATCATAAATTGGAACATACTTCATTTAAAAGAAGAAAACTTGAGAGTAAAAGGTATCTGATTCAAATTTCAAAATTCAAAGACTAAAACTATACTAAACCATTACAAGGAAATTCAATAATTACATAAACATTTTCAAAAGAAAGAAAGTAATGCAATAATTATAGGAAAATAATCTTAACTAAACCTCAATGTCACATCCTATTAGAGTATTCTCATCCACAACTTAAACTCCTTCAAAATTTGAAATCTCCTACATAAAAAAACAAAAAATAAGACACAAAGGAAACAAAGGAGTGAGAACATATCTCACTCCTGCTACCGATGTAAGAAAAATGTCAAGTAGCCACACACATACGAATTATAAAGATATCATCATCATACATATAATTAATAGCAATGTTTTATTCACAATAATATAGAAGTTGAAGCAATAACTACTTATTCACATTCATTCACATCTCATGTCATCATACATTAAATTCATAGTTCAAGATAAAAGGTATGTTACATTCATGCAAGGATAAGACTCTCTTATCTATGTATGTGATGCTAGTAAAACACATTTATCCCTAATTGAAGGCCGAGTAGCCTAGAAGTTTATGCGGGGTCAACCCATCATAGCATTTTACACTAGGAGGATATACAACTAGGATCCTGTCAACATACATAGTTGTGTCGCATAAATTCCACCTCATGCACACAATGGGCGAAACTGGGATTTTCTAAGCCTAACTATTCTCAATGAGTGACCCCCAAGTTTTTACACAAGGGAGTATTTCTTAACACGTATTTCATATCGTATCCATCACAAAACATGTTATGCATATGATGTATTCCATAAAAACTCTATGCATGGTCACATAATTTGCATTTACATTTACACATTTCAAAGTCACATCCCTACTAAGTTATACTTAGACTTATTTACACAATCACTTTCATATATCACATGGATTCACATTTCACAATTTCTATCACATCTAAGTTTCACTTAGACTTTTCAATCACTTATTACAATTCACATGTTCCCCAATATCATAGGTGCACAACAATATCCCATATTTTCTAAAACTCCAATTCAATTAACAATAAATCAAGTTTCAAACTTGCTAATTAAATGAACTAAAACACAAAAATTGAATGATTCATAATAATATCCGTAAATCTCCCTCTAAGGTAAAATAAATTAATCATTTGTTGCAAATAATGGAATAATGCTCCAAAGAAAATTAATCCAATCAAATTTCATAATTTTACATATACCGAATTACATGCATAAAAATTATTAGACATACTAAATCAACTTTAAAACACATAATACTTTTCGATATACTTCAAACAACATATATTACATCATATAAATTTAGATACTCAAAATTCAACTCTTAAGTATTATCTTTGAATTAAATATCTTTATTGAAATGTTTATATAAAATAGGGATTGATATATTTTTTTTTAAATAGTAAACCTTTTTTGAATTTTGAGATATTTCATAGAGGTCGTATCCAACATCTTTATGTAGACATATAATTTTCTCACGATTTATGAGGAACTATAAATACAATTCTTATAATTATTTATCACCATTAGTAAAAAAATAGAGTTTACACCATAAATTCATAAGTTAATATCCAATCAATTTATAATATTCTAAGAAAAATCTAGGATACTCCTCATATGACTGCATGCATCATATATATTTCTCAACGTTTATCTCACACATAAACTATTTTTTATCCAATAAAAACTTAACAGAATAAATTTATGAAATGCCAAAAAAAAATCAAAAATAAATACTTTTAAAGTTTGTAAATTCATAAGAAAATCCAGAGACATCATCAATGATATGTAGAAGATTTCTATTGCACCAAATTTCACTAATATCATACTTAAGTAGTTTAATTGAATAAAAATAACACCAAGGTAGATTTAGAAAAATAAATAAATACACCCATTTAAAATACTAACATGCTCAAAAAAATTTGAAACTTTTTTTAGTGATTCCAGAGGCATGATTACACATGATATGGTCTCATTTCACCAATAAGAGATTAGTCATTGCTACCGGCGGTGGATACTCCTGGGACGAACAAAAAAAAAACTCAACCTTGATTATTAAACTATAGTGTTCCGATCGTAAGTTCGTTGTCATCATTAGGATCACCGCATCTGAGGTTTTGTCCGCTTAGACGCTTGTTGGAACATAATTTTGTCCTTGAAAAGGTGCCTCCTCCTTCTAGCGCCAATGTTCTGACTGTAAGTCCATTATGTCACAATTAAGGTTATCGCATCTGAGGTATTGTCTGCTTAAGCATTTGTTGAGCAGTCACAATTTTATACTTGAAAAAGCACCTAAGTGGATTAAGGATGGAGGGTGTTTATAAATTATCATTAACATCGACTCTTAAGCGATGAGAAACTTTTTAGACATATCAAAACATGTAGTATAAAAGTTAAGTGTGTGTTTGAAAACTCATCAAACACATATTAAAAAAAATATATATGTCAAATTGAATATATATATATATATATATATTCACATTTGGCTTCTATCAAACGTGAAGAGAAAATGCATATCCACCTTACAAACTACTTTCCAAATACGCACTAAAAAGAACCTTATTTGAATACAAAAGCCCTATTTGAATACATATATACGCATGAAACATGAGGGCCCTCTAGTGGCTGCACTTCTTTTCTTTCTCTTTGAGGATACTCAAGTCTGTTTTCTCCTTCGCTTAGTTTCTAAGTAGTTTTTCTAAGAAAAATAAAATATATGTTCATGCCTCTTTCCACATGTAAACACCCTCCACCAAGAAATAAAATAAAATAAAAGACATGTTTAGTGCTATATGGCGAATTCTTAGGTAAAATATTCGAAAGAAGAATACGATCAGCCTATCTTTATGGCGTCAATAAGAATATTTTTATGCTTGGAAATGTGAATTTCATGTGCTGAGAATGGAAATTAAAAGTAAAGCTTATATATGTTACTTTTAATCAAAGCATTTGATCACAATAATCACTTGACTTCACCTAAGTGGCGTGCAAATTTACTTTGATAAAATCCTTTAGGTACATTAGATGGAAATTCATTTCTCCATTTCTTGTTGGTAGAGAACTTTCTGAATATCTTTGATCATCATATATATATATATATATATATATATATATATACACCATACCGTCTTATCATGTCTCTAAAAGGAAAATTAAAATGAACGCGAAACAAAAATTCTCGTTCATAGAAAATAAAGAGCCAAAGAATCATCCAATCACTTTCATTTCCCAAATCAAAACGTGTTCATCTCCCCCACACCACCCAGAAATGATCACACTCGTAGTAACTATCGACCAAAGTGGAACAGATAAAATCAGAGAACCACCGAAACGCAAGCTCCCATTCACCAAAAAGAAACAATTTATTAAAAGCTTGACACGACTAGAATTACAACACCTCATTCAATTTATTAAAAACCCAGACAAGAAAAGCTACACAATCAATTTCCTCGCCTGGACCACCCTCTCTCTGGCCAGAACCATTGAACCAACAACATCACGACACACGGTAAACGAGTTAATTCAAGTTAATCTAGTCTCGTCTCACACGCATCAAGATTAATAGACATCCAAATTAAAAATTAAACAAATTATATAATATAATAATAATAATAATAATTTAGAGAAAGAAAAACACTAAAGAGAGAAAAGTAATTACGAGGAGTACAATTACAAATTACAGTCTTCTTTTTTTTTTTTCTTCTATTTTTCCCCCTCTCACTTTATTTATACCTCCTGCCACGCTGGCTCACTCTTACTCACTCCACTCCAACAAGTTCAATCAAGCATCATTTTTTACCACTTTACCCATTTACCCATTTACCATTCCATTCCCACTCCCACGATCCAATTAGTCTACAGTGTACAGTCCAATTAACTCGGGGGACCCACTGAGTGAACCCACTAGGACTCGCTCGAGGGAAGCTTCCACGCGGAGGTGGCGATGAGTGGCCTAGTATGCCACCCTAGCAAGAGGCAGCCGTTATTTTCCTCCACCCTGTACCCATCACCGCCCGCGAATAGAGCCAGCAGCGTACTCGCTTGCTTGAACGCGTTGGAACCGAGATGGACCGGGTCGAACCCGCCCGAGCCCAATCTCCCTCTCCACTGGGTAAGAGTCTCGTGGCGCTCCACCCGGTCCACGCCCTCGTAAGCCACCACGTTGCATATCTGTCTCCCGAGGTAGACCTCCGACATTAAGTGGTCCTGACTCGGTGAGCCCAACCCGGTCGAGGAGGAGGAACCCTCCAGCGAGTCGAATAAACTCGAGTAATAATGTAAAGCCTCCGTGAACCGGTCGAGAAAAACCGGCCCGTTGTGGTTGGCTTCTTGTTCCACTACGGTGATGATTTTGGGCTTGATTTTCTTAACAGTGTCCAGGACTTTCTCCACGGATCCGGGTCGGGCCAGCATGCGGTGGAGTTCAAAGACGGAATTGACTGCGACGGCTTCCCCGGGTCGGATCTCGAGCATGTTCGGGTCGAGATCGGCGAGGCTGTTGCAAACGAATCCGCGGAACTCGAATCGCACGCCGATTGTCTCGGCGAGCTGGGCCAGCTTCAAGCCCACCTGCTGCAGCGCGTCGGTGTTATCGGGCTGGGGCGGGCCGATTCCTGTCAAGCGGAAGGTGGGGGGGCCGCCGGGCCGCAATGCGAGTGCCTGCATGAGGGCGGGCCACTGCATCCCTTGCTTAAGGCCGAAGTCGATGACGTGGACTCTCCCTGCGGTGGCGAAGGCTTCCAGAATGGCCTGGTTGGCGGTGAAGTGCGCGAATTTGAGATAGGGGCAGGACTCGTAGAAGTGCATGTGGAGAAGATCCGAGAAGGAAGAGTCGAGAGGCTCCTCCGGGAAGGCGCCGTAGATTCGATGGGCTAGGGCCTGAGCGAAGTAGAAAGCCACTTTCCTCATGGCTCCGGCTTGAGACGCCGCCAGTATCCCCACGTGCTTCACCAGCGCCTCCGCCAGCTTCAGATTCTTCTGCTGAACGGCCTCCGCGCATGCCATCAGTGTGTGGACAAGACGCACGCCGGTTTCCTGCGAGTCAACCAGCACCACCGGCCGCGTCGGCTCCGAGACTGAATCTGTGGATTCAATTGGAGAAGGTTTCAGTCGCTTGTTGTTGTTATTGTTGTGGTTGTTGGCCTCGATTTCTTCGATGTTGTTGTTGGTGTTTTGAGGAGGGTATGCGGCGATGCCGGGAATGGCTCTGAGGTCGTACTCGGAGTCGTCATTGAAAACGCGTGAGGGGGTGAGGATGGGGTCTTGGATTAAGAGGTGGTCGAGGTTGTTAGGGGGAGGGTTGAGTTCGGTGAGCATGGTTTGGACCCAGGAATAGAGATCGGTGGGGTCGTAGTGAACGGTGTCGGAAGCCAGGTGAGAAATTCCCTCTTCCTGAGCACTCCCCATCACCATCTCCAACTGCTCCAGCTTCTGCGCCACGTCAGCCATGTCCGAGGAACGCACCTTGTACCCCAACGCCGCCAGCAACTCGTCATTCCCCCCCTGTTGCTGCTCCTCCTCCCACATCTTCGCCTTCCCGCTCGAGTTCGACATTGACGAACTCACCCCACCCCTGTCTTCGTGATCCCTCTTCATCACTAATCACTAATTCAGCACCTCACCAATGAAATTCGCTTGAATTGGGAGCATAGAGAGTCAAGAGAGAGAGAGAAGGGTGGAAATTGAAAAAAGATAAGGAGCAGAGCAAGGGATGCCATAATAATGGAAGGAATTCTTTTATTTTATTTTTTGAAGAAAATAAATAAATAAAAAAAGTCTTTTTATATAATTAATTAATTTACTTGGAGTGGTAGGGTGTGCGGTAAAAAGAGCCGTGGCAGCACCGCAATGCCAAGAAAGATGCCCATGATAGTGTACAGCTCGTGCATACACTAGAAAATCAGGTGGCCGTACACTTCATCGATTGAGCGTCTTGGGGACCGAGAATCATCCTGGGCTCCACCTTCCCACACCACCCCCACGCGCCTCTTTCACCTTACTACATTCTTAGTAATACTAGATTAATACTACTAATCATTCACCCCATGGAATTAACTCATCAAATCAACTCTTCCTATTACCCATTTCGAACAAACAACCCCTACTGTCGACGCCATTACTACACTCCATGTCCATGTCGCTGTTTAGTACAAATTCTCCATCATTTATATTTGACTTCGAAATTTAATTCCGCTTAAGGTCTCGCCTTACTCATTATCTTTCGCTACATTACATATATGTCATATTTCTTATTAACTTTTTTTCGCCTACACACGCTTTCTGTGCTGTGCTATTGCATATATTCCTTCATGTGCTTCACACCACTATCCCATTAGGACAGGACTACTCTAAAGACTTAAAAGGGAGTTGTAGTACTAAATTTAAAATATATATCTATTTTACATATTTTTTTGTTGTCTATGCACCTTTTATGAACTAATCTAAATTTTTAAAACATGCAATACATTATATTAAATAACTTATCTACAAATATTACAACATACAAAACTAGTTATTTTATTAATTATAAATTTAAAAAATTCATTAATATTATATTTTAATGTGATAGAACATGCAGAACATACAATATGCAGAACCAGCAAATTAACAACAAAAAAAATAGAACATTCAAAAAGAGAGTAAAGAACAATGTTCACTGTAATGCATTAAAATTACAACAATTAAATTATTATATCTCATAAAATTATTATCGATTAGATTTTAAAACTTATAATTAATAAAATAAATATTTTAAATTAAATTTAAATTTAAAATATATAAAAAAAATACATCAATTTCATCGGATTTTTTCCAACAGAAGAATAATAATCCTTGTCAAAGTATCTTATATCAAGTCGAGTGGATAACCGTATTTATGCTCCACCCTTCGATGTGATCTGGAGGATCTCGATTGCATGGATAATAGAATATAATTTTTTTATAAAAAAAAAGTAAGAAATTTTAACCTGTTAAGAAAATTATTATTAGTTATATTTGATATATATGAAATAGACTATATGCGCAAAAACTTGTACTTGTATATCTCATCATAATTCATTTGCACAATAATGTTAACAAAGCCGGAGGATTTGTTTTAGTGTAAAAAAAACGCAACTCTAATAAATGAAATGACATTATTGCAACTTTAGCATTTATTCATTCATCCTAAAATACGGCTTTTCTTTTCTCTTCACGTAGGCTTGCTATTTTAGTATCATACTTTCTTTACTTTTTAAAAGCCATTTCTTCCTTTTGTCATAGTTTCTGCTGCTAATTTTTTATTTAAAAAAGTAAAAAAGAAAATGTATAGAGATTTTGACGATCTGTAATTGTAATTTTGAAAAGGTTGCATATATGTTGATTATGGGATGAAATAATGCAAGCAGTCATTGTTCAAGACTCCACTGTCAGATTTAAATAAATAAATAAAGGATAAGAATAAAAAAAAAAGGAAAAGTGAAGCGAGGCGTGAGGGTGGTGTTTGCATGGGGGGTGGCCTATGGCAAGTATGTGTGGTCGGCTTCCGTAGGTTGGAGTGGGGAATAACTTCTCGCGACGCACATGAAGGAGAGATCAAGGGGACAGGTCAACTTTGGTCTCGACGCGCCACACCTGCACGCGAAACAACAGAAACTGAAACACTGGAAACCGCCACGTGGAGGGCTGTGGTGGTGTGTGTAACTCCACGCGTTACATGGGATGGTGAGTGGAAGGAAGAGATGAGTTGCATCGAGGGCCCACTGAAAGAGGGGTCTGTGCTGAGAGAAGATCAACGAGGACGGGGATTCAGACGTCAACATCGATTTTAGGACCATCCGACGCGGGACCCACCCTCCAAAAACAAAACATTACTACTATTACTCTATTATATTCTCTCTCCCCCTCTTCCGAGAGAAACGGGATGCCAGCAAGGCACGTTCATTGTAACACCGATATTATCTTTCTTTTTTTTTCAAGTTTATATCTAGACACAACAACCCTTCAATCATATAATATTTTTAAAAATATATATTATGCTTTAATAAATTACAATAAATAAATAAACTTTGAAGCCGTGAAACTTTTTAAATTAATTTTTATAAATACACGGACAAGAAAAAAAGTTTGAATAAGAGAAAACAGGGTTTGAAAAACTGTGAAAAAAGGGTGAGAAACACGAACACGAACGGGGCTTCACTTTTTCCCTTTTTTTGTTGTGAATATATAGAAAGGTTGATTTAAGTAGCTGAAATTGATTGATACAGCTGTTAATAGTGTGGTTTAACTTTATTACTATAAGAATAAGAAAAGAAATGTTTGTTTTACTATTATAGTGATAATTGGGAAGAGAAAGGAGGGAGAAGCGGCACTGACAGGTGTTGTGGTCAGTGATATATGAAAGGGGAGAGGGCCATAGCCATGTGATTCTGCCACGTTTCACAGATTCTCTTGTCCCCGTGGTCCCTCATTCTGCACCACCCTCACTCCCTCACTCACCCTGCTTCCCCTCTCTATCACTTTCACTATCTCTCTTTTTTTTTTTTTTCTTTTTTACATTTTTAAACCATCTCTTCCAATTAATATAGATCATAGTTTTTTTCCCCAATTAACCTAAGCCTTAAGAACTAACAAACTTATCCTATCCAATTTCAAAACTAGGGTCAATAAAATGTACATAAGACAGTTGGGATCGTGCTATGATTAAAAAACGGTTGTACTAACTGGCTACAAGGTTTAATGACCCACGGCACTCATATCAATTATAGTGTGTACATAATTTGGTTTATAAAGTCAAAATTTTGTTTAATAAGTTTAGGACATTTTTAATAAAAGCAACTCATTTGAATTACTTGATGTATTGAAAAATGAAAAAATGATTTTTAGTATGTTATATTAGTATTAAGCAACTCAAATACAAATTTATTCTGATAATAAAAAATTTTAAAAAATTTAACTTTTATAATTTTTTCTTAATTATTTATGAACTAAATTTAAATTTTTATTAAAAAGGATAATTGCACTACAATAAAAAAATTACAAGAAAAATACACAATAAATAGATATTAAAAATAAAATAAAGTAATAGTAAATACATAAATATTATACGAAATTAATTTTCATCATTATTATTTTCGAAACGTTCTCAAATATGTTCAATAAAATCTGCTTAAAATTTGGTAAGGAACAGTTACTTGAGGAAACAACTCTTTCTCTTCTTCAAACAACTTATGTTGCCACGTCAGAGTCCTCAGATAACAAGAGACCGGGGTTTGAGTTGCTTCATGAGATAAACAACTTCCATTAAAGTTGCTTTTACTCTCTCCTTCCGTCTTAATAAGATTTTTACTTACAACAAATATTATCGTACTTCCTTCCATTCTTCGTCACCTTTCATTGTGGGCATTGTTAGCTAAATTTAGAAAATAAGAATCTTAATTATTCATAGAAACTAATAGAAACGGTTAAATGTATATTTTAAAAGATTTATAATTCAATATACAAATATTTTATTTTATTATTGATCATTCATTGTTATTAGTGGTTTAAATTGTTGATTTTTATTTGAAAGTAAAGGTTTACTTTAGTTAATAATTACTTAACAACATATTTTGTTGCATTATAGAAAACGGTATAATTTTTATTTGGTGTTGAATTTTTTTGGTTCTAGCAAAGAGAATTAGGCCATTTAAATAAAATAAAACTAGATATTAAAAACTAATAAGACTTCATTTTATTTCAATGATATTTATTTATTTAATAGTTGATAATAGCAACGACGGATCCATGTGTATCCGTGTGGGGGCAGTTGCCCCCACTAACTTTTCCGTTTTTCCTTTTTAATATATATAATATTATATTATTTTCATTTAAAATCTAAAAATAGAAATAAAAAAATAAAAAGTTATAAAATTATAACTGAATTTAAGTCTTGTTACACTTATTTTTGTGTGAGAAGAAAGATTTAAAATAATATATTTTAATATGTTATAAAAATTAACAATAAATTATATTTTTCAAAAAAAAAAGTTGTTATGCATTAATTTTATGTATTTTAAGTAAAAAAAAATCATAAGTTGTTATTAATTTCTTTTTGGATGTTTTATATCTTTTTTTTTATCTTTTTTTTACTTTTTTTAATTCTATTCATATTTTGAAATTTTCCTCTATCTCTAACATAATTTAAAGTGTAAAGGAGTGAAATTGAAAAATAAAAAATAAAAACAAACAAACTTCTTCATTCATCTTTACTCCTTCATGTTTCAACAGATAAACTATATATTTAAAATGATCTTTGAGGTTAGTGTATTTAAAGTTATTATTTTTATATTACTTTATTTGAATTATTTTTTATTTTCAATGAGAAATTCAATATTTTAATTTTTATTTACTCATTCTATTTTTATGTTTAGAAAAAATATTGTATGTTATGAACATTACATTAATTAAAATTATATTGCTTTTAGTTATAGTAATGAAAAGGTATTTTAAAAGAAAATCATCTTCAGAACAACTATCTTCTCCTTGAATACATGTTGAAAAAGAAGTCAAATTGGGTCCATCAACCAAAAAAAGATTTATAGAATGTGATTTGGAAAGACTTCCTGATGATCCTTGTCTAAGGTCAAAAATTTCAAATTATCATCCAAGTAATAGAGATGAAGTTAGAAGGGATTGGTGATCTTTCTATAAAGCTTGTGAAGACAAGAAAATATGTTGTATATCCATTAGTGTATTTGCTTTTAAA